TTTTAAAATATGAACTTTTTTAAAGAATATAGATTCTTGGATGATTGTTCAACGCGTCTGTTAGTAATAAATTCTAGAAAACCCCTAATTTTTGTAAAAAGTTTTTTAAACTATTTTCAAAAACACATACACACACTCACTCACCTGGAAATATTTAACTGCCTATTTCACAATATCGAAACTACATTTTCTTTCTTATAAATATATTGAAAACAAAAACAAAATTTTAAATTTATTTGTTGTTTTCAATATATTTGTAAGAAAGAAAATGTTCTTTCGCGTTTAGAGAAACCGGTTTTAAATACAATAATAATGAATAAACTTCAAATTTATTCTAAAATTTCAAAACTTTGAAAGACATTCAGTTGATTCTGAACTAAACAATATATATAAGAACTACTTATATTCACAACACTCTATCTTATCAATACAAGAGAAAAAAACAGTTCTCTTCCTTAAAAATAAGATTTTTTTAACTGACCTTAACATTTAATCAATTTGCTCCAAAAAATGTAAAATTTGTTTATATTGTGTTTTTATCTCATTACTTTATTTATTTCACACATTTTTTCTTAAAGAATTATGTGCTCTTTTCCACAAACGCATTTTATCTACACCATACATTTTGCTTTTCTTTTAAATTATAATAAATTTTATTTATATTCAAACTATCATTAAACAAATGTTGTTTTCTTTAATTCATTTCAAATGTATAATGTTTACGACCATCACCGGGATATTGTTTAACAGCAACGGGACGATACATTTTATAGTTGTCCAACCAATAGTACAAAGCCAAACAGCCGGCCATACAGCCCAAGAAGCTCATCCAGTAAGTGCTGTTGGCATAACGGGGAGGAGCAGGTTGTGACCAACGATCTTCACTGTATAAATCAGCGTCGGCATGGAACTGTAATAAGGGAGGGAAAAGAAGAGATTAGGAAGGTGTTTAATAAGAAAAACTAAAAGTTTATGTAAATGAAAAACTCCTAAAATTCTTTGCTAAAGAATTTCTTTCTCGTTTCTAAAAAAATTTTCTCTATAGAGTCTTCTGTAAAGAAACTTTTTATAAATAAACTTAGTCTATGGCAAGCAGACTTTTTCTATAGAATAGGAGTCATTTTAAAAGAATATTTCTATTAAATGCTTCCTTAAGTCTTATCTAAAGAGACTTTCTCTATTGAATATAGACTTTCTAAAATGTCTTCCTATAGGAAAAAACTCTTACCTAAAGATACTTTTTCTAAAGGAAAGGATTCTCTTGTAAAGAATAATAATGAGTCTATAGTATAAGAGTCTTTTCTAAAGAGACTTTATCTATAGAAAAATTGTATTTTCTAGAGAGACTTTTTCTATACAAAAAGCGTCTTTTCTAAAGAGACCTTTTCTATAGAAAAAAAAAGCCTTTTCTAAAGAGACTTTTTCATAGAAAAAGTAACTTTTCTAAAGAGACTTTTAGAAAAGATACTTTTCCTATAGAAAAAGAGTCTTTTCTAAAGTAACTTTTTCTATAGAAACGGAGTCTTCTCTAAAGAGTCTTTTTCTATAGAAAAAGTCTTCCTATGGAAGACTCCTTTCTAAAAATAGTTTTCCTTAGAAAGAGTCTTTCCTAAAGAGACTTTTTCTGTGAAAACTAAAAACTAACTGCGTTTTCTATAGAAAAGTCGTCTTTTACAAAGAGTCTTATACATATCAGATATGAATTAAGGAAGCATTTTTAATAGAAGAAGGGTCCTTCTCAACTTTTCAATAGAGACTTCTTGATAATTTTTGGAGAGGCCTTTTCTATGTATCTTTTAACAATACTTTTAAAAATACTGATAATTATCTATAAAGTATTCAGAATTTAAACTATTTATATCTTCACACAGTGTATGGTAATTTTTCATGCTGCTCAAATCTTCGGACCATATAAAAACTAACTTCATTTGCTTTCACATCCGCAAATCACTAAAATCTATTAAATATATCAATCAACTTACAGTTTCATGCAAATTACGCTTCAATTCTGGAAAATCATATGGATAGTAGGGATCACGGGCTTCAATACCTAAACCACCTTCCAATTTGGGATAGTCACCATAACCCAAACCATTATCGGCATAAGGTTTGTATTCTTCGGGCAGTAAATGGTATTTTTTGGCAGCAGCTAAATGCTCTTCCTCGGTTTTAGGAATACCAGCTGGTTTATAATCCTTATTCCAACCGGCCACTAAAAAAAGCAAAGTAAAAACAACAATATTAACATTTGCAGTTACGTAAACTATACATTTACTTCAAATTTAGCAAACCATTCTAAATACTTACTGCTTCTGACAGCTTGACGCAGCAAAGCGGGATTGGTGGCACTTAATTTTTGTACCAATTTATAGGTATTCATTACGGATGCCATTTTGCAGACAATTTCCTTAGAGAATCTGCTCCAGTGGACAAAATTTTCAATGAATTGTGGTGCTGCAGCAGCGTTTTGCCACTAATCAAGTGTCAAAGTAGAAATGTCAAAATTTTTTTGTTGTTTTGTTTTGCTATTCAATTTCGGTCAAGCTAATGTGGTGATTTTTTTATTTAAAGTAGCGTTTTTTTGTTTTTAGCGATTTCATATAGGAAATAAGTGATTTTTACATTTTTGCTACTAAAATATATTTAAAACTGACTTTAATAAGTATTATTGATCGTTTTATGAGATAAAAGCATTCTTTTTATTATATTAATCTAAATATATTATTTGTATGTATTAAACAATAAAAAATATAATAAATTGATTTAAGCAATTGTTTTACCAATCCAAAAGAAACAATATCTTAATTTTAAAAAAAAACTTTTTTAAAATTTTCCATCTAACTGCTACCATGTTTTCTGTTTAACCGTTAAATGGCAAATACATTCGAGTATGGACGCAATAAATAACTCTAAACATTTATAATGCACACCTTATTACATTTTATTCAAAATTTTCCAAAATGTGTTATCAGAAATCAGTTTTTGTTTTATTTTAGTTATTTAACGTTTTTATTTTAAATAATATGTAAGCATTATGGTTTATTTGGAAAACTACAGAGTTGAATTTGTGTTTATAACAGTTGGTATGTAGAAACTGTTCGATTACAAAGAGTTGCCAGATGGTGTGTAAACAATAAACAATGTCATTGACTCAACTCTAAACATTAGGTTAGCATATAGACCATACTATACATGAGAGTAGACTATGAAATAGATTATTAACTAGACTATAGAGTAGACTATAGACCAGACTATAGACTAGACTATAGACTAGACTATAGACTAGACTATAGACTAGACTAAAGACTAGACTATAGACAAGACTATAGACTAGACTATAGACTAGACTATAGACTAGACTATAGACTAGACTATGGACTAGACTATAGACTAGACTATAGACTAGACTATAGACTAGACTATAGACTAGACTATAGACTAGACTATAGATTAGACTATAGACTAGACTATAGACTAGACTATAGACTAGACTATAGACTAGACTATAGACTAGACTATAGACTAGACTATAGACTAGACTATAGACTAGACTATAGACTAGACTATAGACTAGACTATAGACTAGACTATAGACTAGACTATAGACTAGACTATAGACTAGACTATAGACTAGACTATAGACTAGACTATAGACTAGACTAGACTATAGACTAGACTAGAGACGAGAAGAGAGAAGAGACGAGAGACGAGAAGAGAGAAGACGAGAGAGAGACGAGAGACGAGAGAGAGACGAGAAGAGACGAGAGACGAGACGAGAGAGAGAGAGAGAAGAGAGAGACGAGACGAGAGACGAGGACGAGAGACTAGAGAAGAGAGACGAGAGAAGAGACGAGAGAGAGACGAGAGACGAGAGAGAGACGAGACGAGAGACGAGACGAGAGACGGACGAGAGACGAGACAGAGAAGAGACGAGAGACGAGACGAGAGACGAGACGAGAGACGAGACGAGAGACGAGACAAGAGAGAGAAGAGAGACGAGACGAGAGAAGAGACGAGAGACGAGACGAGAGACGAGGAACGAGAGACGAGACGAGAGACGACGAACGAACGAACGAACGAACGAACGAACGAACGAACGAACGAACGAACGAACGAACGAAACGAACGAACGAACGAACGAACGAACGAACGAACGAACGAACAACGAACGAACGAACGAACGAACGAACGAACGAAACGAACGAACGAACGAACGAACGAACGAACGAACGAACGAACGAACGAACAACGAACGAACGAACGAACGAACGAACGAACGAACGAACGAACGAACGAACGAACGAACGAACGAACGAACGAAGAACGAACGAACGAACGAACGAACGAACGAACGAACGAACGAACGAACGAACGAACGAAGAACGAACGAACGAACGAACGAACAACGAACGAAACGAAAAGAACGAACTAACGAACGAACGAACGAAGAACGAACGAACGAAACGAACGAACTAACTAACTAACGAACGAAGAACGAACGAACGAACGAACGAAACGAACGAACAAAGAACGAAACGAACGAACGAAAGAACGAACGAACGAACGAAACGAACGAACTAACGACAACTAACGAACGACAAATAACGACTAACGAACGAACTAACGAACGAACAACTAACGAAAACTAACGAACGAAAAAACTAACTAACTAACTAACTAACTAACTAACTAACTAACTAACTAACTAACTAACTAACTAACTAACTAACTAACTAACTAACTAACTAACTAACTAACTAACTAACTAACTAACTAACTAACTAACTAACTAACTAACTAACTAACTAACTAACTAACTAACTAACTAACTAACTAACTAACTAACTAACTAACTAACTAACTAACTAACTAACTAACTATCTAACTAACTATATATTGATCCTGAAAAATAGTTGAGAATAAAAATACTTGATGTAATTTTTCAATAAATATTTGTAACATTTATTTAAACGTTTTTATTTTAATACTTTTAACAAATTTGTAAATAAACTTTAATGCAATAAAACCCCTGAAATAACATTTAAGATTAATAAAAAATTACAATGGAAGTATAATAAAAATAAAAGCCCCAATAAATACAGATCAAAAATGTAGTAACTTTTTTGTAATAAATACAATTTTTCATTTAAGTAACATTTGTAAAATTATAATGACTCTATTTTCCAATGATTTGGATCCATTAGATAATCTCTGAAATTAAAAATAAATTATGAAAGAATAAATATTGTATATAATTTTGGCTTCAATATAAAAATGAGTATTTACCTTTTCTTAAACATCAATTGCATAAAATCTTCTTTTAAATCTGTCAATTTACCCGCCTGACCACCATATTCCTCGGGCAAAAGTTCTTTAGGAACATGTTCGTACAAAGTTTCAATGCCCGTTGTATGAAAATGCATCTAGATATTGTAAATTGTTCATTGAAATTACTGCTTTAAAATAAAAATTCCACTTAAAACCCACCATATTAAATACGTCTTTATTGATAAATGGCTTTACCACACTAATCAAGCGATCCAAATACGAGGGACAATTAATCATATGCATGGCTTTGATACGCACGGGAAATGCTTGCTGTAGAAATTTCAAATATGTACGTAAAGTGCTTATCGATAGACGAGTAGCGTGCTTCATGCTATAACCAGTCATGTCGAAAATTTGTACTTCACCCTCTGAAAGCATTGTAGCATTACCATCTGTTAGATCTGGCATTGAAAAACGACAATCGGTGATCATTATGAAGGCCTTGGTATCTTCGGTATGATGCATCTAGTTTTTTAAATAAAATTTAAAAAATTATGAATATTTTTTTTAATATTAACAGTCTAATACCTTTCGTGGATCTGGATCACATAATCGGAAGCAGGTTATGCGATATTTTTCCGGTGTTAGACCTGGTAGTGGCACCATATCTCTAAAATTTTGTTATTAAAATTGTTATATAGATTTTCTTTTAAATGTTGGGATAAATATTTACGCATATTCAAATGTTCTTTGACTGTCTTCATCTGTGGGGTCCCGATTTATAAAGATATGTGGACATTTATTTCTTATCGCATAATTAACTTCAATTAATTTCTTGGTTTCTTCTACATCTTTATACATACATAAATAGAAACGTTCTAATAGGAGACGATCTGGAAAGAGTAAAAATTTCTGTTAATATAATTCACATTAAACCCCAATCTGGGTCCACACAAGCTTTCTCTTTATTGAGAAAACTAAAGTGATATTCGATTTCTTGTTTAGAATTTTTAATAGATGTTTCTTAGATCGATAGCAGAAAGTAGGGGGTAACAGTGGTATTCAATAACGTCAGAAACTTATTAAAAAATAATAGTTTCCTCTTTCTAACGATTTTGCTTATATAACATCCATAAAAAATACCTCAGATTCTTTTTATTTTTAATAAGCAAATTATAAAGCAAGTTATGGTTCAATTTTATTACACAACTGTTCATTTCCATTAAAAACCCATATTGATAAACGATTCTGAAAACGTTGCAAACATTTTGATATCTTTAGTTACAAATTAAGCTCTTATTTGCAATAAATTATTCCGTACAAGTTCGTTTTTGCTAACAAAATGCAATTAAAATATAATTATTAATATAATAAATTGCCATAGAAAATGTATAATTATAAAAAAAAAGAAATAAACAATTTGAAATTTGCATAAAAAAATCAAACGTTTCAATAAATAAATAAAAGTGAATTTTGCTCTTAAAGGTAACAATTTATTAATACCTATTACAGATATGACGTAAACTTTTGAAAAACTGAATTATATAGTTTACTTCTTTAAAACATTTTTATTTATAGTTATAGTCTAGTCTATAGTCTAGTCTATAGCCTAGTCTATAGTCTAGTATAGTCTAGTCTATAGTCTAGTCTATAGTCTAGTCTATAGTCTAGTCTATAGTCTAGTCTATAGTCTAGTCTATAGTCTAGTCTATAGTCTAGTCTATAGTCTAGTCTATAGTCTAGTCTATAGTCTAGTCTATAGTCTAGTCTATAGTCTAGTCTATAGTCTAGTCTATAGTCTAGTCTATAGTCTAGTCTATAGTCTAGTCTATAGTCTAGTCTATAGTCTAGTCTATAGTCTAGTCTATAGTCTAGTCTATAGTCTAGTCTATAGTCTAGTCTATAGTCTAGTCTAAGTCTAGTCTATAGTTAGTCTATAGTCTAGTCTATAGTCTAGTCTATAGTCTAGTCTATAGTCTAGTCTATAGTCTAGTTCTATAGTCTAGTCTATAGTCTAGTCTATAGTCTAGTCTATAGTCTAGTCTATAGTCTAGTCTATAGTCCTAGTCTATAGTCTAGTCTCATAGTCTAGTCTATAGTCCTAGTCTATAGTCCTAGTCTATAGTCTAGTCTATGTCTAGTCTATAGTCTAGTCTATAGTCTAGTCTATAGTCTAGTCTATAGTCTAGTCTATAGTCTAGTCTATGCTAGTCTAGTTCTAGTCTATATTGTCTAGTCTATAGTCTAGTCATGTATAGTCTATAGTCTAGTCTATAGTCTGTAAGTCTAGTTATGTCGTCTATAGTATAGTCTATAGTCTAGTCTATAGTCTAGTCTATAGTTAGTCTATAGTCTAGTCTATAGTCTAGTCTATAGTCTAGTCTATAGTCTAGTCTATAGTCTAGTCTAAGTCTAGTCTATCGTAGTCTAAGTAGTCTATAGTCTAGTCTATGTCTAGTCTATAGTTAGTCTATAGTCTAGTCTATAGTCTAGTCATAGTCTAGTCTATAGTCTAGTTATAGTCTAGTCTATAGTCTATAGTCAGTCTATGTCTAGTCTATAGTCTAGCTATAGTCTAGTCTATAGTCTAGTCTATAGTCTAATCTATAGCCTAGTCTATAGTCTAGTCTATAGTCTAGTCTATAGTCTAGTCTATAGTCTAGTCTATAGTCTAGTCTATAGTCTAGTCTATAGTCTAGTCTATAGTCTAGTCTATAGCCTAGTCTATAGTCTAGTCTATAGTCTAGTCTATAGTCTAGTCTATAGTCTAGTCTATAGTCTAGTCTATAGTCTAGTCTATAGTCTAGTCTATAGTCTAGTCTATAGTCTAGTCTATAGTCTAGTCTATAGTCTAGTCTATAGTCTAGTCTATAGTCTAGTCTATAGTCTAGTCTATAGTCTAGTCTATAGTCTAGTCTATAGTCTAGTCTATAGTCTAGTCTATAGTCTAGTCTATAGTCTAGTCTATAGTCTAGTCTATAGTCTAGTCTATAGTCTAGTCTATAGTCTAGTCTATAGTCTAGTCTATAGTCTAGTCTACAGTCTCTAGTCTATAGTCTAGTCTATAGTCTAGTCTACAGTCTAGGCTAGTCTATAGTCTAGTCTATAGTCTTGTCTATAGTCTAGTCTATAGTCTAGTCTATAGTCTAGTCTATAGTCTAGTCTATAGTCTAGTCTATAGTCTAGTCTATAGTCTAGTCTATAGTCTAGTCTATAGTCTAGTCTATAGTCTAGTCTATAGTCTAGTCTATAGTCTAGTCTATAGTCTAGTCTATAGTCTAGTCTATAGTCGAGTCTATAGTCTAGTCTATAGTCTAGTCTATAGTCTAGTCTATAGTCTAGTCTATAGTCTAGTCTATAGTCTAGTCTAAAGTCTAGTTTTTTTATTATTTAACTACAGAGATAAATAGTAACGATAAAATTTCAAAAATAGCGGCAAAGTTGCATGGTAATTTTATTTGTTTATAAAAATTTTTATTTTGTATGTTATTTTTAAAATATTATGTTAAATTTCACACAGTAAAATGTTAATGAACTACAATTGGCAAGTCATATTGTAGGAGGAAGAAAGATTCATACGATGAAAATAAACATACACAGCTGTTGTTTAATAAAAATAAAAACATTTATAAGAAACAAACAAAAACAGCATATCAACGAAAGACAATTTACGTATGTACATACATGGAATAAATATCTATAAATATTTTTATAAACAAACCACAAAGAAGATCAATTAACGCATTTTTTTTCTTTTATATGTAACACTGACAATTTAAAATGTCATGACATGACGATGTGTAAAAATTAAACAAATTTTGTATGTATCTGCTGCACGTGCTGCTGCATGCTGGCATATTAGTTCAACTTACAGCAATATCGATTAAAAACGATTACTTTCAGTTTTTTGTTATTCTAATTTTGTTATTATTTCTAGGGTAATTAGCATCACTAAACTGGTTTTGGCGCTTAATTTATGGTAATTATTACCGTTAGATTTAAATGAAAATGGAAAACGTTATAAAAACAAAGCAAAACAAGTTTTGCAAATTTCACCATTATCAAAGCAACAACAAACAAA